ATTATTACCAGAAGAATGCAAGAAATTAGAGAAGGCTAATTTAGACAAGGTTTGTCATGCCGCTCAGTTCAAAAGAGAACACCGAGATCCAGCTTCATCTGTAGATGGTTCAGCATCTGCCCTTCCAGTCTCCATCGTGTTTACATCTGTGTTTGTCATGTTCTCTGGACTTCATCATTATTTATTTTAAGAAATATTTAATCATACCAATTGGAATATATTAAAATGTTATTTCGTTTCATTTATAATTAAGTTACAATCCTTTCATTTGTAACCTTATCGACGATTCAAATAGGCCATTCGATTTAATGGAAGAGTGAGAAGGTCTCTGGAAAACAGTTAGTGAAGTTTTGAACACAACAAATAGGAATTATTGTTATGATACTTATTTGGATTTGTTTATCCACTCCTTCAAGAAAATTCTATGAAGCCAAATTTGGTGGAGAGTAAATTGATCAAAAGACGCAGTGTAAAGTTTATAAAAATGGTCCATATTTTGTCAGAATGTAATGTCAAATGAATAATTAATATAATATACTTGGATTGGAAATAGCGTCTGTAATTTATCTGGCTTTAGCGGGTTTTGTCTCTTCGCATGTGTGTCAGGACCATTTACACCATACCAATGTCCTTTTCTACTTAAAAAGAACTTGCTAATGTGAAAGGTGTGGGTCTTGGTCGGAGATTTTGTCCCCAAAAATCTAGCGTGTGCCCGTGCCTCCACGAAAAGATTATCGTGTCGTCAAGTTTGATAATTGTCTCCGATAGTTTTATCGTCTGCAAGACATATCGTCATCATCCAATCAGAATCATTTTCCTTTCAATTGCATGCTCAGCACGCGGTGGATAACGACAGACTGGAGATTTTTGTCTCCTTGTCTACCCGTGCCAGTCGTTGAAACTCAAGACAAGACTAATCGGCCACATAAGTCTCCGACCAAGACTGTTCGTGTGCACTAACCTTAAGGCGAACACACGATGCAAAATAACCAACCATTAAGTCTGACATGACTACCAAGAGCTGGATCTACATAGAAGGTATTTGTGCCGTAGGGCCCCGTTTCACAAAGTATCGTAGATTAACGTACGAGCGTAAACGTTAAAAATTAACGACTTGATAACGTCAAAAATAATATTTTTTGCTTAACATGTTTAGTCGTACGAATATTTAGATCCAGAGATGGTAAAATTAACAACTATGTATGGGGGAATTAGAATAAGCGGTCGGTTGATTTCAATTGTGAATTTAATGTAATTTGCAGGGTAGATGTGCGAATGGAAGAGGTACGACGTCCCGTGCGATGTACGGTGTTATGTCGATATAGTATACATCATATTTTTAGCTCCATGGTCTAATATATCGATCACCCTGCAGCGGACGTCGTACCTTGTCTATTGCGCCTTCAGATTTGGAAGAGGGAGGAATGTTGGTATTTTATAATTTGTTATCCTTCATACGAACAAACCGTAAATGGTGAGGGACAATCTAGACAAGAATAATTTTCAGATTACTGGCCATAAACATAGAATATATAGTTCAAACTGCACAATTATTCCTGGAGAACTGTTTCACTTATTGCGTTTTAAACTGACCTAACAGATGTCAATATTCTGCTGTAAACAGGGGTATCCGGGTTCCGGTAATGATTTTAAAATATATTATGAATACTTTAAAGGCTAAATCAAACAAATCACACATGGCATACTTCTTGTTTAGTCTTGATGCCATTTGGCTAATTTTGTTTACACATAACTTTATGTGTGAGAGTCTGCGAACCTTGAAAAAATCATCCTTACTGTTAATCCTAAAGGAACAGCTGGTAGACAGGATCCTCAAGAACCTAAGTTGTTATCCTTGTAAAATAGTGTATTTCTTTTCTTTTGTTTCTTCTATCCCATTTCCGCAAATGAGCAATCAACAGTCACATAGCGTTAGTCAAGTGAAGTGTTCTAGTCATTGGTGATGTGTGTTGATACCTTTAACTAAATAAAACAATCTACTCCGATTTCTCTCCTTAAAATGTCACCAGATCCTGGTAATAAAAGGCGAGGAACAAAACATTCAAACATAATTCAGCAGATTAACCCTTCAATCGTCAGTCAAAATGAAAGTTTGTTATTTTCTGTGGGTTTTACTTTCTTTAACAGCAATCGTAAGTACATGTCAAAACTTTTGTAAAAATTTTGTCAGGTCGAACATTGCATTATAACCAGACTATATGTCGAATATGAATCCTTTACAATTTTATTTTGCATGATCCACGAAAGTCTATTCAATGTATTTTAATTTTGTAATGCTTAAAACCTTTGTTTGCGGTTTGGACTGAGAATATTTGCCCACCAAAATGCCAACAATAGAGCAATAACATTCAAAAAAAATCACAGTGTTTGCATTTTGCCAGAGAAAATCGATCACATCTTCCCCACCTCCTTTACCTTTCACTATCTGCTTCGCCTATGGGTTGAAATTTCAATTCGGTATACCAATTTGTCTGATGTTTTCTAGGTATTATCTGAGCGTTCTGATATCGACCTGAATGATACAAGAGGTACGTTATACATGCTACATATAACTAACCCTATAATTTGCTAATGAATCGTAAGGAGGTTTTCTAAAGTGGTTATGTGGGGACACTGTAAATATCAACAGCTTCAAATTTATATTTAAACATATCAAAACGAAAAATTGCCTCACAGAATTACTTTATTGCTCTTTCAAATTTTTTCTTATTTCGCACGACCAATTCGTATTTGACCAATACACTAATAGTCTTTAATTCATTTGCAGATTGTGTTTCCGGTCCAGCGGGTATACCGAGTTTACCAGGCCTACCAGGACGACCGGGATATTTTCGTAAGTATTAAATATTTTATTCATTAAACTGTTTTAGTTCATTGGTCTTTTCAAACTTTTTAACTCTCAAGGTCTAAAATATGAAAACGAATCTTTTAAATGTATTGATTTAATAATGCTCAATGGACATTTTTAAACACAGTTTTTCTGGCTCTCCACTTTACACATCAGTTTCCCATGAGCCCATTATACAAAGTGGCTTATGTTCCCATTGCCCTCTAAATGTATCTAATTGCCAATGAAATCCCAATAGATGAACTTGCGATTCAGGTTTTCGGTATCGGATGTTGAAAGGTTGATGGTTATCAGGCTGTGAATTACGTCGAGGGGCTAATATACTGAAAATATCTTATTTTTATATCATCTTTGTACAGAGATTATAAAACATTCACTCATTAGCTTATGAAATGAAGTCAATGATGTCAAGCAAGATCTAAGATGAATTACGTTTTCATTAGGTGCAATACTAGGCCCAGCTTCACAAAATTTTAAATTAGATAAACTGTTGGAAATATAAAAATTCGAGTTAAAGTCATTAAAGTTATCTTTTGAATACGTTTTTGTGATTAACCAGATGACAAACACTGAAATCATCTTAAGTTGGATTTCGTGACATTGACCCTTGATAATTATTTTTTTCTGTACTTCTGGAGTCATAGCAATGAACGCTTCACAATTGTAAATTCATTTAATTTATTATTTATCCTCAAAATCCGACTTAATTTGCCATTATATAATAATTTGTTTATTATATATTCCAGCAAGTATTGGAAGAACAGCTAGTTACTGTAGATATATTGGTAGGAATGGCCAATGTTATAGATTTAGTGGCGTGTACAGTGAGGAGGAGTGCCGACGACGATACGGTGATGAACAATATGAAATTTGGGTTACCAAACAGTTATGGCAAGACCGAAATAATGCCCATCATAGATACAGCGACCCTATAGGGCCTGTAGGTCCTGGGTATTAATCACACCATGATGAAAACTTGTTATTTCGGAAAATACTGTTCTGTTTTACCATTGTAGCCAGAATAAGATTTTGGAGAAGATTTCTGTAATATCATCGCAACCATAATCAAAATATTCGGTTTGAAAAATTCAATTTTTGTCGTAAGTATTCCAGGACAAATTCTTATGTAACCAGAGCCCTGTTCTGTACCAATAACTCTGTTCTATAATACAATTGTAATTTGAGAAATATTTTGTTCTGTTATTACATTTAACAATTAACAAACGATTTGATTTAATTTTGCTGGGGTCTATAATAACTGATACATTCAAGCAATTTCAGATGCCAAAATAGAGAATTGATTTTCTATATTTTCTTATCGATTTAAACTCAAATGTTTCAAAGAGGTATTCAAAACTGAAAATGTACTAAAGTCCATTGTTAAATGAGAATTATCGAGCTATTGTATTTCAGCACCATAATATAACCTTTTGTCATTATAAGTAAATCAACTGTGATCAAAGACTCAAAATCTTCAACAAATTTTAGAAAAGATCTTTACATAAAAAGGATTAGAAGTGATTGTTTCCGGCCATCTGATAAAAAGATAAAAAGATTTCTTAAAAAACAAAACAAATTTGAAGACAGATCATGAGAGACAATATTTTCAATTGTTTGTCATGTTTCTCGTTGTCAAATGAATGGTCTCGGTATTTGCTATGCTGGTTCTCCTCGTAGCTTTGATAGGTGTATGTCTGGTTTCTCCTTATGCAATTTCAATGACAGTTTGACATGTATGATTTAAAAGAAACTAACAACCATTACGTTTTATATTTCCAGTATTAACTGTAACCATTTACAGCTCGACCGACTTTAATAATAAAGGAACGGTGAACTATTCAAGGTCATCAGTCTTACACGCGCCGACCTAGATTAGAACCCATGACCATCATTCTTTTCGTCGTAAACTAGAAAATCGGTCAAATTCTATGGAATATTTTAATATTTCGGGTGGCTCATAATACGATAACACTTTTTATTCAATTGGTAGATATAAAAGATAAGTTTCACTCGCAGTATTAATTTCCATTTAGACCATGTGATTCATTATAATAAATAATAAATACAATATTTATAGAGAGCATTATATAATAACAACGATTACTCTAAGAGCTTCACATAAAACATAAAATACAAAGCACCGACGAATGCAACAAAAACTGCCTGTGCCCTAATATATACAAAACATTCTAAAATGAATGCAGTCAATTAAAAGTATATAGAATAAAATAAAATAAACAAGTAATCCTTAAAAACAGTTTAAAAGAAGTGAGTCTTGAGTTGTTTTTTAAAAACGTCTAAAGAATTCACATTTCGCAATGACAATGGTAAACTGTTGCAGAGTGTAGCCGCGGCCTTGTCAAAACGCCTTTCACCGTAGCTTTTCGTTCTGACGTCATTTGGAGGATGTAAAAGCATACTCTTTTCGGACCTGGGTGATCTGTTGGGTTTGTATGGCGTAATTAGTTCTTGGAGATAGCTAGGGGCCTTGCCATGCTGTGCTCTGTACACATAAACAAGAAGTTTATATCGGCAGCGGTAATGAATGGGTAGCCAGTGTAACGAGATAAGAACTGGTGTGATGGAGTCAAATTTCCTTGTTCGGGTTATCAAACGTGCTGCTGTGTTTTGGACACGCTGTAACTTACTGATAATGTTAGTGTTAGTACCGTACAGCAATGCGTTGCCATAGTCTAGCCTTGATGTAACAAGGGAGGGCACTAGTGTTCTGCAGGCTTCAACCGAAATTAGAGATCGAATTCGACCACTATTCCGAATCTGATAAAAACCAGCCTTAGTGATCGCACTAGCTTGATGTTCCATACTGATGGTTTTATCAAAGAACATTCCGAGATTTTTCACACAAGATACGTCGCTTAACACAGTTCCGTCAAATGACAGACGGAAATCGTCTAGAGTCTTCACTAGACATTTAGGTGCAAGGGTAATGAATTCTGTTTTGTCTTCGTTAAGTTTAAGCATATTGGCACTCATCCAATCACTAATGTCAGATAAGCATTTTTTTTAGACGCTTCAGTGCGGTCTCATGATTTGATAAACCTGAGTATCGTCTGCGTACGAATCAAATTTCACCAACTTGTTTAGCGAAAATACAATACAATATATTCATTTCGTATGATAATAATTAGTTCACGTCTATGGTGCAAATTACTTTTCGGTTTCTATGGCACCCTCGATCAATATAGTGATGCAACACTAAACGACATAATCGAAGGGTTATTTCATAGGTATTTCACATATATAATTTCTGATATTTCTACAATTATCATCAAAGAGTTTATATACCCCACCGTCCTGATTAATTATAGAGCAGTCTTCGCCACCATAATCATCAGGCTGGCCTGGACTATACAGCGTATCGTTTATGGAGGAACCATCGAGCCAGAAGTATGTACCTTCTACCAGGGTATCGCCACCACCCACACAGAAATCTCCATCAGGTTTTCCTACAACACAGAAGCAAATATTGGCATTTATATTATGTCGTATGTAGTACAATCTTTATTTCGATCTTTAGCAACGCTCATTTGCTAGTTGTTCTCAAGGCACAGGGTTCAATAATTCCGGTATAGGTCGAGATGTACCCATGCGAAACTACGTATGGTTTTTACATGAAAGTGTGTGTTATTTCCATGTAAGGATCATGCGTAGTTTCGTATGGAGATGTTTTTTCAACCCGGTTTCTAGAAGGCACGCATCATATTACACTACATGTTATAAAATTAAGTTGCTTTTTAAAATGTATCATATAAAATTAGATGTGACGAACACATTATGTGTGATTTTTTGTTAAACTAATAATTATATAATATTAAAATTACATTTACATGTATGTCCAATTGTATTTTCACTAGGCCATATTTAATTATTTTATATTCATTTCCTCGTGCTACATTTAACAACACTTCATAGACGCCGCTCTCGATCGCGGTAAAGAGGCTTTTAAAGTTCTTTGTTTTTCTTTGTTAAGTTGTAATACCATTATAATTAAAGGAAACGCGATTGTATATTTTGAAGAAGATAATCTTGAAAACCTCAATCTGGGAGTAATAACCGCGTATAATGTTACGTAATTTTAAACCGTGGCTAAATGAGTCTTTGTTAATTAGTGGACCTACCAGGTTTCAAAACTATACGACAGAATCCCCCTATAATTCAATAAACAGATAAATTTGAAAACTGTTTCAATAATTATTTGTTTAATAGATATATCGTATTATATATGGAGAGATTCTATTTTCAGTCATGACACATGGTAAGTCAAGCTGATAAATACATACACTTTTTTTTCAATTCTATTCTACGTAGTGGTATCCTTTTAAGATATATTGAGAGCTAACCTAAAATTCAAAGCTTCTTCTAGAATGTGTGTCACTAGCACGAAATACAGGAAACAATTTGTCATAGGTATAAATGTCGTACAAATCACTACATACGTGATTTTACATGCAAGCACAGCCATTTCAATTGTCATTCAAATATTTAATCGGAAAACAAATCAGTTTCTACCCCTTTTACGTCTTTATCAATCTGTAACCCCTGTAAGATCGTATTCATGATAGAACAAGATAGGAAACGAATCTTTAAATTAAAGCATTGTCATCATTACAATATATTCTCAGTTAAATCGATTTGGTGATTATTTAAGTATTTTTGGTGCCACGTGAAATGTTTGTTTGTATTGAATATTAAGATGTAAGTTTAAATGAACCCGGTAGTCAACTGTTTACTGGCAAATAATCCACATCCTTTACTTAAGTACCACCACTTGAAGATGGTTAATAGGTGTAAAAAATACTTTGTATTGGTTTTATTATCCCACAGTAGGAAACTGTTGGTATTGTTTTAATGCTGAAGTAATTATTATGTGATGGTAGCTCTGTCAGTTTCGTTAGCACAATAAAAGTTTCTGGCATATCAATTAAAATTAATATGGCTGGGGGAACCTCATCTCATCTCATCTCATACCTGCCAATACCTGAAAATTTCAGTTTATAACCCCTTCTACTAATGTACAATACATGTTTGTAGTAGGAGTTCTAATTTGCATCTCTAATTGGGTGGATGTTTTGATATTCAAAGTTAAAATTAGCAATTTAAGTGACTTAAAAACATGACTTAGTCAGATTTATTTGTTTTCTGACTTGCTGATTTCACAACCAACGTGTAAAGATTAAATCAACAGTTTTATTTTTCATTTTGCATTTTGCATCTTTTAACCACCTTTTAACCACCTTAACACCATAACTTAACAAAATGTTGGATGTTTTTAAAATTTTGCAAAATGTAATGATTTGATATATTGTGTAAAGCCATCCATGTCACATCATTAAACCGAGGATAAACAGTATATTCTGATTATGAAAACCAAGTTGGTGAGGGATCCATACAAAATTTAAGCCCTAAGAATTTCAATATATTAAAGAATATGGTAACTGAGGTTTCTTTTATATCATTGGAAAGAGGACCATCAGTACATTAAGAATATGAAAAAAACAAGCGCCTATGTTTATGAAAATGTGGTACAGTGGTGTAAAATTGCAAAATGTCAATTTTCGAATGACTATTTAACCGGAAGTTAAAGTTTTGTAACCAGCAGCATATATATAGATACCCTGAACATGTTAAAGTCATTGAAGGTCAAGGTAATGATATAGTCAAGAAATCCCAACGTAAGTAGAAAATGTTTTTCTTTAGATAAAGTAATGCAACGTTTATAACACAATGACGCCTCATAATGTCCCCTGACCCTTAGTAGTGTTCATGCTATTTTCTGATTCATTTCTTTGTGCAATAATTGTGAAATTTGTTCACACGTGACGGTTGTTTATATACTTATTTAAATAACCTACATCCGGTCAGTTTGGTAACCAGATCGAAGGACCGGTCGAAATTTGTTGCCGTGAAGAACAAGAAGAAAAGTTATTTGACCAAAATGTTTGTCTTGTTTCTGTCCTTGCTCGTTTGTTCTATCTTACCTTGATCAGCAATAACTGTTTCTATATAAAGGCGTTTATAATTGGTGTCAGGTATAAATAAATATCCACCAGCGTCCACACATTTTTGGTGATTGTGGTACCAATTGGTAACGAAAAACTGTCTCTTAGTCACCTTCAGACATGCCTGCATTGAAGGGTAGTAAGAGTAGCCAGACGGGCAACTATCTGAAGAAAAAAAACAATAGACGGATGTATTGAAGTTGTAATTTTTACCCTA